AGATAGATAGATAGATAGATAGATAGATAGATAGATAGATAGATAGATGGCAGGTGCTGTAGTCCTTAAGCCAGATATATTTTCAAAGAATTTGAACATGAAAAAAAATGAGAATGAGGTTCTATAACTTGGAGGGACCTGAATTTCTAGTTTCATCCCTAATCATTGTTCACCATTTCACATTAGTAATGGACAACAAAGGAGGGAATCAGTCATAAGGTGCTAACTTGAGACAGGGTGATGGTCTATAGGTATGTATCCCCCATGTGTTTCATCAATAAAAGCTTACAGTATTTCCATCTCTTTTTTCTTCAGAATGTAATTAGTAGGTGGTCTACTTTTCATTAGGGAGCCTGGAGGCTCTCATGCTCCTACCAGAGCCAAAGGAAGTAGCACTTGAATTCTAAGGGGTTCCAGGATACTTGTTTGACTAATTGAGCTCTGCTATGCCTACTTCTCAAACAGAAATTTCAGGGTGTTGTCACTGTGTTTACAATTTGCTAAAGTGATTTTTGTTTGAATGTTTAAATAGCAGAGCAAAACTTATTCACACACTCTTCCCAGATGCCTTAAGATTTTTAAGTAGACATTTGTAAACACTAAAGTGTCAATTAACACAGGATATCTAAATGAATGTTTTGTACACACACACACACACATACACACACACACACACACACACACACACACACACACACACATACACACACAAGAGAACAAATGTGTCGGCGCCATTTACCAAAATGCTGAGCTAAAACTAGAAAGCTTCTTTATCAAAGTGTGAATTTCTTAGAGAAAGTTAGATGATGCATTGAGTAGACATGCAGAAGTATTTACTTGAACACAACTTATGCTTTGGAAACAGTTTTACTTCTGAGCTTCCTGAGCTTCTCCCCTTAATTTCTGCTTTCCAGATGTCCCAGGAAACTGATAACACTTGAAGATGTGCACCTGGCCTTCCCACATGCCTTTACACATTTCCAACACTTGCTAGCTCACAGAAAAATATTGTTTCATGGGGAAAAATCAAAACCATTTCTAGGGCAAAATTTCATATGATCTATTGAATATATCACATTTGATCAGTGAAAAGATTATAGCTACATTGCTGAAAACAAGTTTTATGTGAAGAAAGAGCTGTTTACTTTATGTTGTTTGTCTTGCTCTTTTTTTCTTCTTTTGACTAAATTGCAAATTTACCACAACAGCTCTTTTGAAGTGTGCTGATTCCAGCCACTTCTAAAATGCAAGTTGTTCGTGTAACGAACATTGGTGAAGCAATGATCACAAGGTCCTGCTTGCTTCTTGCTCCTGGTCCTGCTGTTACTCCACAAGCTGGCCTCTGTCCTCCATAGAGGTGTAGTCTGACTACCATAGAATTCTATAGCTTTGAATCAACTCACCTTCTATCTGTGAGAATGTTTGCTTGTTACTGTAGCCTCAGTCATTCAGCTGTCCTAAAACCAAATCTTCATAGTGCTATTTCTCTGAGGAAAAGCAAATAGTCTAAAACTCTTTGGTCAAGTTTTAATATGAGAACACAAAGATCATTCCCATGTTTTAAAGAAATAACCTAATAATCTAGTAAGGCAAGATGCAGTTGAATGAATTCAGCTTTCCAATTAAGCATATCACTATGCAGCTTCATACTTAATCTTAGGTTTCTAAAATTTTGTGGATGAGATTTGTTGTTTTTTCTAATATGGCCCATACAGGTGAAATTTTTTCAGATGGTTCTTTAGTTTATGAAATACAATATAGCTTAGAAAACTAATAAAAACGTATCCACGATTTGAGAATCAGATGGAATTTTTCTGCATTGATATGGTTGGATATGAAATTGATGGTTGAAATGAGGGAAGATGTAAATTTTGTCTTCGTGCCCTTTTGCCTTGGTTTCTTTAAATATTTTTATCACTTCTTTTGATATATTCAATACTCTGTGCTTCGGTGTGTTTTTCTCCTTTTTGTTTGGAGTACAACGGACTTCTTGACTCTTTGGGTTAGTACTTCTCGCTAAATTTGAAATTTTTCATGATTATTTTTGAAACATTTTCTGCACCTGTTTTTCTCAAACCCAAACTGTGTGCTTCTTTATTAAACAAACTTGTATGTTCTGCAGGTCACTGATTTCCTGAATTCTCCAGTCTTGAGTTATTTGGTATCATTTTTATTGCTGTGTTAAGTTCACTTAACTTTTTCTACACAGAGTAGTCTGCTTATAATGTTATCTAGTGTTTCTTCATGTCAGATATAGTATTTAAGTATTTTTTTTAATTTCTAATAGCCACAGTGAAAGTATTTTCTCCTTGTCAGGGCAGAGAGAAAACACACTCTTCACTTCTACAGGACACCCAGGGCCACCCTGCTTAAAGTGCTATCAGTTCTTGAAAGGAGGAAGATATAGAACATAAGCCTGAGTCAAGTTAAGCAGTCTAGTGACTCTGGTCACAGATAGTGCTAAGGACTGGTAGTCACTCTGGAAGGTGATCCAAGTGCAGAGTACTTACATATGCAAGGTGCTTACTGGGTATAAACTCAAGCTTCCCAAGATCCGCCTTTCAAGCCAACAATTTATGTCTGATGTTAAATAGTAGCTATGAATGGCAACTCCCAGAGAAGTGGAGGAAGCAACAGATGTGCTATGATCAAGTCAAGGTGGTGTCAAGGAGAAGTCAAGGGATATCAGAGGAGGCGTGGTCTGAGCCTGGTCAGTAGATAAGTGTAGGCTTTTCTGAGTGGAAGGGAATATAAGTCACCTTGGGCAGGAAGGATAACGTGATCAGAAGAGTAGACACTCTGAGCAGAGAAGGATGTAGAAACATGGACATTTTAAGCAATTCAAAATGACTACTTTGAAAAAGATGAAACAAATAAGAGGGAGACTGTAAACAAAAATTGTTTTGAGGTTGTTGAGTGGCCGGCCCATGACAGGAGTCATTGTATAACAGAGTGGTAGCAATGGAGGTGGAAAGAAAGAAAAGTTGGTAGAGGCATTGCCACATGGAAATGCAGCGAAGCTGATAAGACATGGTTAGGGGATGGGACATGAGGGCTACTGTTGTTTCCACCAAGGTGTCACCTGTGACAAGCTCCATCTAGACTAGTAATTTCCAAGTAATGTTATCACCCACTCCAGTCACAAAATGTAGCTAACACCCCTAATATGTTGCCTTGTATTTGTAAATTGTATACTATAACACTGATGCGTTATCATTAATGTGAAAATAAAAATATGAAAGAATGTAATTAAAAAAAATGTAAATACAAGTGTAGTGTTTTCCCCAGAATCTCTGTAGTTTCTATGCCCTAATTTTGGAGACTGGTGACCTAGAGACTAGAACAACATTATTCCTCTCTTTGACCTTAAGAGGAACTATTATTATAACATTGCACAACATGTTAATGATTTTCATTTTATTTTTTGTGTAGGCTGGTCTGTGGTTTGCAGGAGATGACATAAAAATTCCAGAAAATCCTCTTGAACCTCTGCCATTTAACAGGCAGGAACATCTCATAGAGGTACTTGCTAAAATTCTTTTTTATTATGTTTATTTTTCTTGAGATAGGGCCTCACTCTGTAGCCAGGCTGACCCAGAACTTGCCTCAGTCCTCGTCCTGCTTTGGCCTTCCAACTGCTGGGATTTATAGGATGAGCCACTGTGCCGATCTCAATTACTGAGATATTTTTAAATTAGTGCTTAGAAAATACACTGTTTGCCAGAGCCTCTGAGCCCTCTGGTTAGCTGTTTCGATACTTACCTTGAGTTGTCTTTGTTGAAGTAAGGGGAGTCATACATGTATGTACTTGGAGAAACTCAGTGTTGTTACATTAAAGTGCTCTTGTTATCACGGCTCTAGATGGAAAACTTTTTTCTGTTAAAAAATTAGTGTACAGTACTGATCATTTTCTTCGGGTTTTTCCACTTGGAGAATTTTCTCTGATTCTACCCTTGCTCCTGAGATACTTTTCTCTTTCCCCAAAGTCCAAACTATAATATGAAATCTAGAGGTCGTTCTTCATAGAGATGTTCTGAAGGAGGAGATGGAGACCAAAATCTTCTGTTAAGTGTATGAATTTTGAACACTTTTCATGGACACTCTGAATTTCATTTTTTTCATCTGTCACCTAAGCCAAATCAAGATCCTTAAACCGTTAACCAGGCTTTACATGTTTTGTCACTTCTAGCTGTCCAATTTCATTTCCCACTAGTCATCCCCTTGCCTAGCCTGCTCCAGCTACACTGACCTGCTCATGGACCATTGCCACACAAGCACAGGACCTGGTGCCACAGATCATTTACCTCAGTGGCCCCTTCTGCCTGAAGGCTCTCACCCTCAAAGTCCCACATGCTTTCTCCCTTTCTTCCTCCAAATATTTATTCTTCAAATTTCACCTATATCCTTCAGCCTGTCCCCTTCCCCACTCTTCATACACAGCTCATCTTTGTTTCACTAACTTTCATTCTTCTGCTTCCATAATCACTGCATAATGTTTCATTTGATTAATTAATTCTTTACTATCTGCCTTCCTCTTCAAGAAACATAGTTCACTAATAGTTGCAATATTCTTGGTAATTATTGTGTTTTAAATACTTAGAAAAGTTCATACCTAGCACATGAAAAATGCTCAATAAATATTTGTGGAGCAATGCATTCGTGTTAAATTTTAATGTCATATAACAGTTGCCATGGAGTTGGTGACCTAATACAAAACCCAACTGCTGTTTCACTATTCTGAGTCAGAAGTACGGGTATGGCTTAACCAGTTTTCTGCTCAGGGTGTTTTGTTACAAGGATGGAATCTACATATTAGTGACGATCCAATTTCATCTGAGGACATTCTCAAGCTTGGGTTCAAACCTAGCTTTCTAGATGGGCCATTGACAGAATTCAGATGCTTGCAGTTGTAGGACTGTGACTTCAGCTCCTAGAGGCTGCCATCTGTTCCCCACCACATGCCCTTTCCACAGCATGGCCAGAAGAGAAGCATCTCACTCAAATTTCTCCCTTGTAAAGGATTCTTCTCACTAGATCCAGCCTGAGGGCAGGCTCTTCCTGGAACAACTCAAAAACAACAGATTAAAGGCCTTAGTTAAAAAACTCCCCCTCTTTACCATAGATGATAACCTACTTACACGAACGAATTTCCCCACATATTCTCAAATCTTATCCACAATTAAGAGGGGTGATAAAAAGTAAGAACTCCAGGAGTGAGACCCTTTGAGGAAGTCTTCAAATACTCCCTAGCAGGATATTCTAAATGGTCTTCAGAACATACTAGGCCATTTTTAAAATTGCCCAATCCATTCATATCTGTTTAGTTATATAAAGCATATCAACTTATTTTACTTTTCACACCAAGCTTCAACATATAGTATTTAATTCATTTGATAATGTAAATCATGAGATTTGTACCTTCATATCATTTATAAAATCAATTTAATGGTAATAATATCAAAAGTCAATGCTCCATGTAAAGGAAACAGAAGGTAAGTGCCAGGCCATGAATATTTGTTCCTCTTTTACTTTTACTGAATATGTCCAAAATTATTGTGGTTGTGCAAGATAAAAATAAAATGTTCAGGAAGGAACCCAGCAGCCAGACATGACTCCTGAAAAAACTCAAGGGAGGCCATATTGTCAGATAGTTCTGGTAAGCATCTTAACTTTGTTCTGTGCCTGGTCCAGAGAAGGGCACTCAGTAAATATTTGATTAAAAAAAGATGATTCAAAGAAAGAGCCTATAGATTCTACCAACCTCCAAAACCTTGATCTTATTTGTAGCATAATAGATTCTATGTATTTTCCTACCATTTATTCAGTGTTTTTATTGGTAATGCTAAATATCAGAATATATTTTTCAAACATTGCATTCATATATGGCTAATTAGACCTGATCAAGATCATTGTTGCAAAGATGGTTGGCAACAATAGAAAACTTAGTGGAAATATCCTCTGAATCAGGAATTTCTCAAAATATGGGCCAGCATAGGAATCACCCGGGAGCTTACTAGACATGCAGAACTTTAGATAGCTGCAGAACCATCTATGTAGTCAGAATCTATTCTAAATGTTTCTCTAGGTCATTCAATGCACATCTGAGAAGTGCTGGTCAAGGAAGTTAAGAACCTCCAGAATGGAACTTTGTATGTGGCTATGTTGGCCTGTGTGCACCAGGATTGAGCCTATGCTTTTCAGGGTCATGGGAGATGTTGGGCTCCCAAGCACTAACTCCTCGTGTTTACAGATGTATAAGGTACCAAATAAGTATCAGCTTCATCATTTGGAGAGAGAGAAAACTGCCCAATAAACTGATATACAGTGTTCACTGTATCCCTGGATTTAAACCAGGGCTATATAACTGGGGTACTGCTCGGTGGTAGATCACCTAACTAGCATGTGCATGGCCTTAGTTCAATCCCCAAGTACAAACAAACAAAACAAAACAAACAAACAAACAAAAAATAGCAACAACAAATCCAAACGGATGAATATTTGGGCATTATCTCCGCCCTTTTTCCCCACAGAGCATGTTGGGCCAAAAGTCTCACTTATGGTCAGGGCCAGTTTGTCTAGCTGATTAAGAAGAGAAGTAATGGGTCTTTACTCCCTTGCCCCACTCACCACTAGCCCTCACTGCCCTTCCTTAGTGCCACTGATTAGCCCACATTTCTTCTTACTGAAATTGAAAGCCCTACTTTTTATGCTTTTTCACTTAGCACATTCTCTTCAGTAATATTCATTACACATTAGCTTTGCTAGTTCAGGCCTTAGAGTGTTATTTGTATTCCAAAGTGCCATAATGGATTTTTCACAGCCCTCTGTGTCTTTCCACTACCACAGTGAACCCATTTTATCTTTAGCTGATGTTGTGTGTGTGTGTGTGTGTGTGTGTGTGTGTGTGTGTGTGTGTGTCAGTTCTTCTTTAGGTTGTTTGCTGACTATGAGAAGGATCCACCCCAGCTTGACTACACACAGATGCTCCTGTATTTTGCATGCCACCCGGACACTGTGGAAGGGGTTTACAGGGCCCTCAGTGTGGCTGTGGGGACTCATATCTTCCGACAAGCTGAAACTCCTGTGCTGACTACAGAAAAGGTAACTGCATTCCTGAAATGAGCTTCCTGGGGAGGAAAAGGTTCTAGGACGATAAAAACTCCTGACAATAGGAACTCTCTTTTTTCTCCACATTTCCTAGGTACTCATCATGATGTTTTAAATAATCCAGATCTTCAATTAAAGCTTCCTTTATTGCATTAATATCTAGGAACTCAAATTCCATCAAATGCTTTTATAGCAAACTGAAAATCTGTTTACAGTGTCTTTATATACTAAAGTTTGCTCTAAAAGAAAAGGCTTTATTTTATAAGATGGAGGTGATCCATCTGTTTTGTAATATAGAGTTATATTTGAAACAAGCTCAGACCTTGGTCACTTCCCACATATATAGGACTTTTGATAGTATTTCAGGCAAACCCTGAATCTGCAGGCATTTTACATAATTTGCCTCAAAGGACACAGAAAGTTGCCAGCTAACTTGCTCGCTACATTCTATTTTTGATTTCTAAGAATGAGAATTCCCTGGCATTATCAGGTCAAAAGACCACCAAGCAGGGCACTAAGTAATGTGTTTCTGTGGTACTCATTTGCGTGTTTTCTGGCTTTTGATTCTTCTTCTGGGGGCAGGGTCTGCCTGATGCTATGCTTCTTCCTGTTTTCTTTGTGGACATGACAGGGAAGGGCCTGCTGTGTAATCCAGACTCCCCAGGGTCCCAACCACATATATTTTCTTTTCACACATATTTGTCAAAGTAGAGAGATTTGTAAAGAAGTGGGAGACTTCTCTGACAGCATTCATATGTGGGAAGAGATTGTCTCTTTCTCAGATTCAAACCTGAAATTTGGCACCTAGAACATGGACTAGAGAATTTTTTCCCTTCTCACCAGGCAGAGTGAGACAAGAGAGATGACCCGATGCTGATTTGAATTTTCAATCAGTTGCACTGAAGATTTTGGCTCAAGTCACAGTGGTACAGAGATCAGCTAAATGTTTGTCTTTTAGACAGTAGGAGGCCCATTTTGAATTTTCCCATATAAATCAGCCAGGTATAATCTTTCTTCTTGGTGATGGCATTTGTCCCTTTCATTCTCCAAAACCTCAGGATCCATTATCAAGGTTTAAATCGGGTGCTTCCCTTTTCATTACTGAGTACTCTATCATTCTGAACATCTTGGCAGGGTGACCCCCCCCATCGAATGCATACACATGCTGTCTTAATAAATATCTGTTGAACATATATGTTTGCTGAGGAGTCCTGGGCCTGGGTGGAACAGTGAATGAAAACATTCCAATCAGGAGGAAAATAGGCTATAGTCAAGAAGGTAATACATGAGCATTTCAAATGGCAATTTTAAACAACAACAAAAAAAAAAAAACAGGAATTTAGTCATTTGAAAACACAAGGTTTGTAATAGATTGTCAGAGAAGACCTCTCTATGAAGAGCCTTAAAAATAGGCCTAAGAAGGTTGATGGGGAGAGCTTTACAAGGATCTAGGGTGGGGGCATTTTAAAATAAGACAACACTGAATACAAAAGTACTAACATGAGCTGGGCCTTACAGGTTTCAAGGAACAGAACTGGCCAGCATTGATATTGGTAGACAGAGAGGTTCAGTGGACATTTGCCAAGATTCTCAGATTCTTTTGTCCCAGAACAAAGAATTGAGCTGCGACAATTTCAACATAAGCCAAGATAGCTTATTAGGCATTATTATACTTCTAATGAAGACAAACCTGTGTGGAGTAGAGAAAAAGATTAAAAACTCAACAGTAGTGATAGACAAAGGACTGAGATTTTTATGGTGCGTAAGTTGGGCTTTTTTGGCAACATTTCCACAGATGGGCTTTCTTGTATGTGCTTCTTGATATGTGTAGTTATGATGAGCCACAGTCACCTTTAGACACTCTTCAGTGTTTGAGCCTATGCCACCTTGAGATGTCAACTCATACCCTTTCTTACATCCTGCAAAGTGCCTACACATAGCAAAATGATCAGTGTTTGTGAGAACTAGGAATGAAGGAAGGAAGGGAGAGAAAGGGGAAAGAAGAGAAGTCTGAGCTACAAGAGCAAAGAGGGAGACAGTCTGCCTGGAGTAAGAAGGACCAAAGAATGAGAAGCTGTGCTAGAGCCATTACTATAGCAACAGGCAGCCACTCCGGTGTGTGGTATCCAGCCACCTAGCGCTGGGGAACTGTAGTCCTGATGTTGATGAACTGCTCACTGCCTCATGCTAGTGTTCCCAGTTGGGAAGTAACTCCCTCTGAGTGCTGCTCTCAAGAGCTCTTTAAATCCAAGGCCATTACACAGGAACTGAATTATTAAGCAAGAAACACCAAAGATGGCTGTGGAAGCTGGGAACGTCTCCCACCTTTGGGAACTCTTCCTCACTTGGGAGGGACTCTAAGCATTCCGGAACAGAAGCTGCCCGCCTCCCTCATTCCCACTCAACCCTGTATCACCACCATATTTTCCCCATTATGTTCCTCTATTTCTGAGACCTTTCCAACCGTGTTCTAGTTTCCCAGGCAACCTCATCCCAGGAGGTCATAAAGACTTGCTCAGAAATGACAAATGACACCTCAACCTACCCATATGCATGCCTGAGACATTCAGTCAGATCTCTGCTTTGGCTTTCTGACTGTATTATTATAATAACTGGAATCTTTCTATGCATTTTATTCTCCCTTACCCTGTCTTTTCTTTTATTCAATGTGGCTTACCCATGCTGCTTTTATTCAGTGTGGCTCAGACCATCTGTGGGAAGTCATGTCTTCTTAGGTAATTTAAAAGAATCCCAAGAGTAAGGCATTTATCAGTAATGTACTAGTCCTGGTGAAACTTAAGTAAGTTACATTTGGGGAAAATCGTTCATTCTGAAACCCTGTGGAATAAGATTATGATGTTAGAATTTGGTAAATTGTGAGCTTGCATCCCTACATAGCTAAAGTCTTGTAAAAGCCCTCTTGGCAGAAGTGTTTGAGATCCTGGGGTCCAAACACATTCGTTTTTATTTCATTCTCTTTGATGCTTTACCTACACTAGTCCCCAGAACTGACCTTATTTTCTGTGTTCTGAAAGTAGTCCTGAGCTGAGTGAATAAAAGAAATACATAGAGATGTACAGGCCCCATTACAGAGATGCACTTCCTGAACAGCTTCAAGATCAGTCCCTGAGAGTTAACACAGTGTGACATAGTTGATCAGGAGTGTCCCCATTCCCTGTTTAAAGTAACGTAACTCTCAGTGTCTTAATGATCCAAGTGACTGACTTTTCTTCTGGCTGCCATAATTGATTTTGTCCCCGGCCCCCATGCATATTCCTATTTGCTCTCTTCAGACTCTGTTGGCAAGAACCCTCTTTTCTTGCACATATCTTTCTTTCCCCAGAACTCTGAGGTGGATTCCTTGGTCTGATCTGGACCTACAGCATTTTCCTCCCTTACTTTTGGTGCCTGTTCTAAGCCCTAGGGAGCAAAAACAGTGAAAATTTAAAAAGCATCCTTGGAGTCTAGTCAGCCCATCCAGTGGTCTTATGTAAGTCATACTCTTCCTCACCCAGCAGCAATCAGTTTCACATAGTTCTCAATCTAGTGCTGGCCCACCACCTATTTCTCACCTCCTCTTTGGGCCTTTGTTTAATTGAGCTGACATGGGTCCTGCACTCGATGCCACTGCCTCCATGCATTTACACTGAAGGACATTTGAGAAAAAAACACTTGAATGAATAGGACTCAGCATATATGGCAGAGTGCATAGGGTTT